GAGAGAGAGAAAGAAATAGAGAGAGAGGGAGGGGGGTGGGCTACCAGAGAGAGAGAGAGTTTTGTTCCATTTGTTGATGTGAGAGAGAGAGAGAGAGAGAGTTTTGTTTCATTTGTTGATAAGAGAGAGAGAAAAAAAAAATATATATATATATATATATCGTCAAATAGAACTGCCCGGTAATATATATATATATAAACACATGCAAATGTAGACAGAACGTGTGAGGTTTTACTTTCACAGCATACACGTAATGTGCATGGCATGCGACACCAGTCATAATTACCCTTCTACCTCACTTCTTAGGTAATCATTTCAGCCACTGTCCTCAGTATTTTTACCCTTCGTTCTCAGTCTTTCTCCACCTCTTTCCCTATCCTTGCAGTGTACTCATCATCGATCCTCACGATCTCCCACAGTCGCTCTCTGTGTTTTCCTTGTCGTCGTCGATTTCCAACATGCCTTCCATCTGGAGCTACTTTCATCATATCTTATGATTTTGTTCGTTGATTGATTTCGTCATCCTTGTTTCCAGATATGTTCATTCTGTGTTCGCGTTGTCTGATGTGATTTTCAGTTTTAGAGATTGGTGGTAGCATGTTTGAAAAGATTTCAAACATTCCAACTCTTTCGTTTGATCTTCCTTACTTGCTATTATGATCATCATTACATCGTCCACAAAACTCATACCGTGGATAAGTTTCTCATCAATTCCAGTCTGTGCACACCATCTGTACTCGTTGAACGCGCATACCATGTTGGCAATGAATGGGCTAGAGCCCTTCCCCATTGGTATCCCCATTACTTGGCATAATAATGTTCCTTGTACTTTGAAGTTTGAAGTATGCGTGTTTGATGTCATAGTACAACAGATCCATTAGGCACTCAATTTTTAATGTTCTCCATCCGTAGGTTCCGTTTGTTTTTCCAAAGTTCATGTACTTTCCTCTCATCTTGTAACACAAGTGGTTTTTCCGTTTTTCTTTCGCCGTTTTCATCATCCATTGCATGRCRTTTAAGATATGTGTGTGATCGAGATTCAAAAACATATCTTTGACGTCGTATGTGGAGCAGATTATCGTAGCCATATCCCCGTATGTTTCTTTTGCTACTTGATTGCATTTCTTTAGTCTAGGTAGTAGTTGGTTCGTTCCTTTTAGTGAGAAACCAACTTTCAATGCTTGACACATGAAGTTGATAGCTCTTGATAATACCTTCGATGCTTTCCGAGATGACTCCTTATATGTCGACACAATTGGTCGGCGTCTGTTGACGTCCTTGTTTTTTAGAATTGTATACGCATTTTCGTATGATCCCTGTTCATCCCATTCTGCGATTTTCTTCAGCCTACATCCATGATACATATTTTTGGTCAATTGAGTGATCTGAAATTCCGTTTGTTGTATAATTTCGTAGTGATTCGATTCCGGAAAGAATTTTCAGGTCTTCTCGTACCAGATTTTACGGCATTCCACAAAAGTTTCTCTAGGATTTTTGTCCAATGGTGATAGGATACATTGTGTCAATCTTCTTTTTACTTCCCATACTTCTGATATGTGAAGAAAAATCTTCATATCATTCTTCTTTTCGATGCAAGTAGAGACATCTATTTTAATTTCTCATCTTCCTTAGTGGTCGTGGTATACTTGCAATGGTAGTGATGATTGTCCTTTTAATTTCTTCCTTTTCAATTCTTTCGTTCATATGGGGTACGTTTTTTGCATTCCAGAAGAGCTGATTTTTTTTTATTTCACTTAATTTGCAGGCAATGTGGTTCTCAATTTTTGGAAGTCGGGATACTGCACAATTACAGTTCGGTGCTTGTGTAAGCACTTGTCTGTGATTGTGTAATATTTCCCCGACTGTCTTTGATTCTTTAAACATCACACGCATCCGAGCTATCAAATCATTTGCCAAATTGTTATTACTTACGTTTCCAAGATAGACTCGGTTGTTGTGTTTCTCACTTGCTTCAGATTAAAGCATGCATCAAATGAAATATGAAATATCAGCCTTCTCTTGATATTGAATGCAAACTTCTTCTTTGAAATTCGTGTGAAGATGCCTTTAATTGTTCGTCTTTGCTTCTTTCCGGTAATCGATCCCACCTTTGACAGAAGAATCAGAAGATCATCTAACGATAATTTATACAGTTTCCTCCGTCTTCATGGTGCCCTCTAGCAGTTAATCAGAACATTTCTTTGTTTGTTTGCTTTCGGTCCCGTATTCACTAGTTGGATCACATAGAAGATACATTCATTTTCGATCCGTTTTCTGCATTTTTTTAGCTGGAACTTTGTGTTATCAATTTCCACAATTATTGATCCGAATGTTCGTTTAATTATTTTCCATTTTTCATTCCATAGTTCTTCAGTTGTGCAGTAAATCATTGCTTTCGGTTGAAGTATTGATGTTAACTTCGTAGTGTAACCCGATCGAACCGATTTAAACAAAACAGGTACATTCTGATTCACCTCATTTTTTTTATTCTTCTTCCTCTTTCTTCTTCTTCGTCTTCGGTTTTTCCAAGTCTGTCTGTCTTTTCCCCTTGCATTCAAGAATGGATTCAGTCTCCTAATCAGTGTTGCTTCCATCCCTATCATCTTTGATCTCACTCCCGCCCAAATGGGTATGAGAACATATTTCCCCCAACCAAATTTGTGAAGCCAGCTGTATAGTTTCTGCTGTGCTCCTCTATTTGGATTCTTGGCCAAGTTTATGTGTTCAATCCATGTCTTGTCGGGCTGTCTTCCTGTCCTCCCCACGTACATATGTCTACACCAAGGTGAAACTCCCTGTACTAACTACTTGCTCATTTTTCGTTGATAGCTTGTGTATCTTCTCCCACTTCTGTGTCGTGGTGAGGTCGCCTGATGCTGAGGTGTCTTCTACCTTCCCAACAGATCTTCGGATCTCGAAGATGTGTCGGATGAGTCATACTCATCACTCCCGCTTGATCTTGTACTAAGGCTCTCGTAATCATCCTCACTTGTGTCACCGCCAGTTGTATTGGACACTCTGATGGTATCTGGATCTCGCATGATCTGTGTTTCAAGATCCGAGTCAGAATCCCGGTTGAAGTCTCGCCCCTTGTAGGCGATCAATCCATGAACTTGCCTCAATGCCGAGATCTCTTGCGGCTTGTCCTTGTACCTGATGTCATGCATCTTGCATAAGACCTTCAAGTCCATGTAGTGAAGACGAAGGAGCTGCATGTCCGTCATCGGATCGACCCCGAAATTAATGCTCCATTTTGCCTTTGACTTCGTTGCCGACACGTTGCGATTAATCTTCGTTCGTCCTCTCTTGGGGTGTGGAGGGATTACGCGTCCCAATCTGCTTTTGTTTGGTGCGCTTATCCTTGGCATGCTTCGGCTCGGAATATTGCGGCTACCATGTACTGAAGTTGGTAGTCCAGCCATTGTCCCCACATATCCGTTCGGATGAACCGAAGACGACACGATCGGAGTGCAGGTATGAGTCGGTTCATTGATCTTCTGCAACGCACCCTTCACAACCGCCAGATCATACTTTAGTAGCTTTAGGTTGTTGACCTCCTTCTGCACTTCCGATACCATCCTTTCTACTTTATCTTCCGCCTCTGCATTCTTCTGACTGGTTGCGCTTGCACCAGCTTGATTTTGTCCCCCTTGGTTCATCTCTGTCGGCTTCAGTGCTTCATCAATGATGGAATTGAGCGCGTCCGGAGTTAGCTCAGGCTTCTTTGCGGTGTCTTCCTTGTTCGGAGGAGCTGGCTGCTTTTCGCTTGTCTTTCGTTTGAGTTGCTCCAGTGTCTTGAGAACTTTGTCCATCTTCCGGCTGAGCTTAAAAATTTCTTCTTTTAGATCCGCCGTAAACCACGCTCAAATTTCCGGTGGGGGGAAATCATTTTGTCTTTGCTCCCACAATGGTCTCGAGAACCACCTTGGATATTCTGACTCCGCCCTTCTTCTCCGTGACAATGGTGATCTTGACTTATGTCTTCTATCTCTCGGAGTTTTCGATCTCCCCCTTCTTGAGCGCTTCCTCCCTTGAGATCCGGAAGATGATGATGAGTGTCTGCGTCGCCTCCTGTCCGACAATGATCGCAAACGCGACATCTTCCTTGAAGCTTGGGAACGTCAGGTAGGTAGTCTTCGTACTTGAAATCGATACAAAACCCCACAACGCGGTTGATCGTCTTCAGTACACACCAGATAAGTAAAATAGTATCTTCAAAAATTGCTGAGTAATCTCCACGTTATAGTAATCTCCAACAAATCGCCACTATGATATCATGAAAGAAAAGGGTTACGAATGATGAGAGAGATATAAAGACAGTGAATGTAAAATGGAAGAGTGACAGGTCTATACAGTGTCAATCATCGTGGGTACCGCCCGCAAGTTCTAAGCATCATGCATAGAGATAAACACATGCAAATGTAGACAGAACGTTCGAGGTTTTACTTTCACAGCATACACATGCAAATGTAGACAGAACATGCGAGGTTTTACTTTCACAACATACACGTAATGTCCATGGCACGCGACACCAGTCACGATTACCTTTCTACCTCACTGCTCAGGTAATCATTTCAGTCACTATCCTCAATATTTATACCCTTCGTTCTCAGTCCTTCTCCACCATTTTCCCTATCCTTGCAGTGTACTAATCATCTATCCTCAGGATCTCCCGCAGTCGCTCTCTGTGTTGTCCTTGTCGTCGTCGATTTCCAACATGCCTTCAATCTGGAGCTACTTTCATCATATCTAATGATTCTGTGCGTGCTACTCACGTACTCTCCTCTCTGTCGGAGTTCCGTCTTACTGTGGTACTTGCCTATAGCTCCGCTGTTTCTTTATACTGACTCGAATCTGACCTTGTTTGTTGTTTTGTTCTTGTTTACTTTCATGGCCGTGGATTTTCCTTCATTTCCAGGTGAGTACTTTTTCTTTATTGGTTCGTTTCCACTGCTTTAGGTCTTTCATCTTCTATCTGTTTCGTATGTTTGGAAATGTGACCGACACTGTTACGTCGTTATATCTGTAGAAATTTCGTGATATTCCGGAGTACTTAGTCATATATGTTTTTTTTTCGTCCTTGAAAATGTATTTTCATTCCGTGCAAAATTATATTTTTAATTTTTTTTTTTTGATTTTTCGATTTATCATTTTAGCTTTATATTTCGAGTCGTGTGAATTTCTTGACGTATTTTATTCCGGACTTTTAGTTTTATATGATTTGGTGCTTCTTGCTTTTCCAGATACTCCTGAAATTTATTTCAGACGTCCGCGTCCCTGCAGTTTCGGATGAACGCAAGTATCGCGGTGCGGGTTATCCTCCATGGGTAATCCATGAGTCGGAGTTCCCGTCCGAACAGGTCAATCACGGGCGGTAGATCCGCCATCTCGTATGTCACTACCATTCGATGAAAAGTTCTGATAGGCGCCAAGGTCTTGTTTTTTTCAGAACCCGCACTTCTGAAGTGACGCAACGTCCTGAGAGAGAGAGAGGGAAAAAAAAAAAAAAAAAAAAAAAAAAAAAAAAAAAAAAAAAAAAAAAAAAAAAAAAAAAAAAAAAAAAGGCAAAATTGAAATATGGGTCAAATTGCGGCCGCAATCTCCCAGTTGGAATGATTTTTTTAAATTTATGTAGCATTTTTCCTGGAAATATCACAAAAAACTTTACGAGTACTCAAATTTTCAGGTTTTTTTACGCATTTTTCTGAGCGTGAAAACTCACTGAATTTGGAGTACTTTTTTAGTTGGCCCAGTCATGGCTAAGTGGCAAAATGGAAAATGTGCTGAATCGGCGCGATAATTATTTCGCAGTCTAAATAATTTTTTGTAAATAATCTATTATTAATTGTGGAAAGAACACGACCTCATCTATGGATTCTCAAAATTTCAAATTTTTGTGCATGTTCGTCTGAGCACAGAAAATCACCAAAGTTGCCTCTTGCAAAAGGCCTGTTTCGTTGTGCCTGACCTCCCTGTTTTAAGAAGACGGGGCTCAACGTCTGGGCCTGAGGGCCCTTTTGCAGATCACATGCCCTCACTTCTTTTTGGGGTCCGCTTCTACTCGAGGACCGGCCCAATGCCCCCACTTCTTTTCGGGGTCCACTTCCACCCGAGGACCGGTCCTTCGTTTTTCCAAAAGTCCCGGTTCTACCAGAGCTAGCTGTAGGTAGTCCGCAATTTTGCCAAGGACCGGTCCCCCAAAATTTTTTCCCCCGAAAAACCCACTTGGATCCTGGTCGCCCGCCGCCAGAAATGCAACACCTTGACACAGACACCAAAGCCCACTATGCGAACTTATTTTTAGGCCCCGAAACAATTTTTGGCGGGAGCCGAACCTGGAGGTGTTCGGCCCCCGAACGGGACCCCGAACGCCCGAACGTTGGGGGGCCAGCTCGGGGCCCCCGGAACGTTCGGTCAGGTAACCCTGTATGTATATATATATATATATATCCTGATGAGTCGGTGAAACTCCGACGAAACAGTTTGTCACAGCCCCTCATTTGTTGTCCTCTTCTCCCTCTCTGCCTACGGTTTACCGGGCAGTTCTATTTGACGATATATATATATATAGGGTAACCGACGTCCGGGACGGGCGACACAAAAATGAAAATAAAAAGGAAGAAAAACATGAAAACAAAAACCGGTGTACGTACGGCCGTCTGCCCGGGGACCTCCGTACGTACGGGATGGTGAGTATATATATATATTTATATACTCACTGCCTTCTGAAGGATAAAAAAAAA